CAGAGCTCTGCAGCAATAATGCTCCTGCGATTGAAAGAGCATTGTTAATGCTGTTGGAGCAATCAGCTGAACGCAGCGGCTCTACCTGGGAAGCAGGTGGTACCTGAGCTAAACTAGACAGCACTTCAGCGGTGGTGCTTTCTTGTTTACAAACTGCATCAGTCACAAATAAAAGTTGCCTTTTCGAAGGCTTTGTTTTAGCAATTCACACATGTGGAATAACAGTCACAAATCATAAATGTCATACCTTTGTCACCGGGATTTGAAGAAATCTGCAGGGTTCCTGTTTGGATGCAAATCCCAGTAGTTGCACCTCCTGCGATTCACATCAAAAAAACTTTCAAAGGTTTTGATTTTGGCAGCTGCTGTCAAGGCGAAACTTTCTTTCAACTCTCACCACTCCAGTTTGGGGAAGGTTCTGGTTGTTCTGCGTAGAGGTCTTGGCTTCCATCCTCCTGCACCCCTGTCTTTGAAACCTAACAGATAAATTGAAAGTTAGTGATAAGCGTTTCCAAGGGTCCCTTTATTGATTTCCAGTAATTGTTAGTAGCTTGTGACATACTGATATAGTTTGCCTTTTCCCACAAATGCCTCAAAATAATGAAATGTGTTCAACTGAACTGCATTTTGTCAAGTGTAACCTTTTTGGTTTTTTTGGTGGTTTTTTTTTTCACCTTTAATATGTTTTAGGGCTCACATGAAGAGCCATGTTGGTAGCCCAGGCAAGTGAATTTTTTCCTGAGCTCCATGAAACTATTACATTCAGACTGCTGCCAAAAGTTGCTCCTCCGTGTAGTCCCATACCCATCCCCAGAACAGTGGGGAGCACAGGGACTCACCACTGCAGACCAAATCACACACATCCTTCCCAAAAGGGAAATTAACAGTGTAGGTTTAGGACCGAGTCCGAAGAGCAAACTCTCACAAGAAGCTGTGCGGGGCATCCTCCCGCAGAGGCTGGGTGCTGCCACTCAGCATGGCATCACGTGTCTCCCGTGGGATGTGGGGAACAACCCTCACCTTGATGGGATCTCAAAGAAATTAGTGCTGGGGAAATTTAGAAAGATGTGGGAGTTTCAATAAAACACTCCCCACCCCCCAAATCCCCACCTCTCTGCAGGTTGTCTATTCCTCCTCCCCAAAACCCCCAAAATGTTAAAGGAAACAAGTTGACTTCAAGTTTCCTCCTCTGCTATTTTCCTTCTGTCCTTCAGGCTGGCAGTGCTCAGCCTCCACATTCAAGCACTACGCGTTTCCTCAGGAGCATATTTAAGGAGCACAGACAGGATCATTTAAGTGCACACTTTACTTATCTATCCTTAAGAACACAAAACAGACCCAGAAAAAAAAGACGGTGTCTGTATGCTCATTAAAACGCTTTCAGTCCAGGGCAAGGATTTGATCAAAAGGATTCCTGCCAATGGAAGGGCATGCTGGAGCCATTGTAAGAAGTTGTGTGCGAGCGTCTGCCTTCCTTTCCTTTTCTTTCTTGTGCCCTGTCCCTTCCACTGCCACCTCCAATCTCTTTTCTTCCAGCTGGGGGAACAGAAGAGATTTTACCTCCTTGATGACAATTGTGTCCTTTGAGCAGCCAAAGCAAAAGGACTTTGAGTTCAAATGAGACTGTGACTTAAACCAATATTAGCAAAGACCAACACATGTTTATTGTAATATACGTAACCTTCATTCTGATCAGCAGGTTTTCCTCACCCCACTGCAGTTTTACTCATTGCCTCTTTCATTCTTCCAAAATGAATAAATGAAATGGCTGCACATTTTTATTCACAGCAGTGGGTTTCAGAACTTCAAATCAGAGAGGCGTTTTGATTTTAGAAATAAACTCCAGAGGAAACAGTTTCAACCAGAACTTTCATATTTTTTTTTTAACAGTTTAAGGTAACATCAAAACTCACCTTTCCAAAAAAATGAAACCTCACAGCATTCTTTTAATCCAAATTAAATAAAGTGTCATCCCTGTGTCCTCTTCCTTCATATTTAGAGGGAAAGAAAACTATCCTGCCCATACTTTAATGGTTTTGTCTGCAAATCCTAAATGCTCCGCTGCTTCAAATTTCAAATGATCTTATACAGCCAAAGTCTCTTTGGTGTCAGCAGCCGCCCAGGTAGCAACACAACCACGAGAACGCTGCTGATCAGAACAATGAACGCCTGATCTACAGATGTCATATCAAGGTAGAAATCTTGATGATCATTGTAGTAACATTACAAAGTGGATTACACATGCTGTATCTGGGTCAGAGGAGGAGTTATTTCAGTAAGGTCAACAAAGTACTCCTGACCAAACTTATTTTTCTACATTTCAAGAGATACGCTTTTGTTTGTTGCTCCATGCACCTAATAACACTGTTCTCTCTGTAATTCCGCATCACTTTGCAAGCAAAGTTAAAAGGAAGGCAAAATAACCCCATGCTTGGGGTTGTGAAATTTCAGAGGCAGGTTCCATCTCCCTGCTCTACTCTCCTTCATGACCGGGGTTCCAGCTGCCACCCAGACTCTCATTTGAGCGTTTAACATCACTTCAGAGAAGTTTTTGAGCTTTGTGCTCAAAGTGTCTGTCCCTCAGTCTCTCCCTGACTTCATTCTCCACCCAATCAGAGGACTGTTAAATTAGTACTTTCTTGCTTTCCATGTGTGTTGGGTGTCAAGGAAACAAATATAGCAAGGTTATAAAGTCCTCAGATACTCCAACCCAGAGCCATTGCAAGCACCAAAACACTTGATGTTGGACGTGTGGGTCTCTACATGGCAAAGACGTCACTGTACAGCACAAAATATGCCTCGCCTTCAACCATCTCTCCCAGAAATGGACAACAGGCCAAAGGCTAAGGTACCTTATCTACACAGTAGCCAGGAGATGACATTCTCCTATCCAGGGAATGCATCATTTCAAAGCTGTTGGCATACAGTACTGTGGGTGGGAGGTAAGGATACTTGTGAGGGTTCTTTCTGGTTGTATCAACTTCTTTTCTTGAATTATTTTTTAATTTTTTTAATTTTTTTTTTTTTAAATTTTAATGCAAACCAAATGTAGTTCTTGACACCCGGTATCTTGCATTTCCAAATGCAATACACTCCCTGGGACGCTGAAAACTGCAAACAAAATGGGAAAGGCTGACCATCCCTGTCAGCTGTGCTGGGGCTCCCAACACCAGCAGCTCTGCAGCACCCACCAGGCACCCTGAGCCTCCTGGCTCCCCAGCACTCCTGCAGAGCAGAGCCTGGATCTTGAGCCTAGCCACTGGTATGGCCTGGGCAAGATGAGCTGTGCACGCTAAAAACATTGCAACGAGGTCACCAGAGAGTGACCAGGGAGTTGGATAGAGAGGCTCTACAAGCCATGCTTGAACACCATTAGTCCTTACCCAAACCACAACCTAGGGATGTAACTTAGACATGCAACTTAGGGATGCACTAGGAAGCACACCAGATAATCCAGTGGCTCTCCTTTGGCCATTAAGGGCTTCTAAATTTATTCCCAGCTTCAAATCCTGGGAGGAAGGTAGTTTCAGCCTCAAATATTACTGGTCTCAGATATATTTACTTTCGTGCAGGTCCTGTGCTCCATAATACTTAGCCTAAAACAACAAAGGTAGCTCTTAAACTGAAGCATTGATGTCAGCTCTGAGTACCTTAAAACTGAAAATAAACACATGTCTATATATATAAATATTGAGAACATTATTTTCACTTATCCAACCTAATACAATTGTGTTCTTTTTTTTTTTTTTTTTTTTTTTTTTTAAGGAAAAATAAATTAGAGGGCTAATTCTACTCACTTGAAGCACTGGGAATCCTAATACCACAAATCTGCACATTTCTGTAGCAGTCAAAAAAGGAAACGAGATCTGTAACCGAAAGCTGTAATTATAAAGACTAACCTTTCCTGACTGAGAAATGCAGGAAAAGAAAAATCATGACGTTAAGAAAAACTGTTTAAGAGCTTAAATAACTGAAGGCAAGCAAAATAATTTCTTTTTCCAGTTGCTATCCTACATATCAAAACCTGTGAAATCCTATGGTGGTAGTAAGAAGCCTATGTTCTATTTATTTCTCTGGGATGACAAGTGTACTTTATTCCAGAGCAGTGGTACATATATCAGATACATCTGACTTATGAGAGTATGATCCAACATCCAAGGAGCATAACTAAGATTTTCCCATTGACTTCGACAGCCATTCCTCCTAGCTAACACACTCCTGGTGCTGCATTACTTTCTTTAATGAATAATTTTGAGCTCATATCTGTGTTTTAAAAATGGATTTTTTTTTTGCTTTTATTACAGCATACCTTTCATATTCTATCAATATGTCACAATCCAAGGTTTCAGTTTGATGTTAGATAATCAACCTATTTAAGGTGGGAAACTAAAGCCACCCCCCTATGTTTTGATAAAGCTTTACCACAAATATAAATAATGGGCACAATTTGTTTCCATAAGGAAGATAAGCTTTCTTCAAAGCAGTTCCCTGTTTAAGGCTTTAAATTTTGCCAGCACTTGCACAAGGTTGCAACAAACCTTGACTTATTTACAGAGAGATGTCGAGCAGAGATAAAACCACTTAATAATCCACCAGTTCTTGCTAAATACATTTTCCTTCCATGCCCTCCCTGAAAGCAGGTATGATAGCACTCTTCTTTGGCATATGCTTAAATTAGTTGGACATCCTTTTATTTTCCTGAAAGCTCTTTGAACTAAAGGTTTTCCAGAACAGTTCAATTAATGGGGCTTATGGCTTTTCTGAACAAAAGTAATCCTGAAAGTGTTTAGGGTTAAAAATAACAACAAAAAAGCCCTTAGGCAGTTATTTGAAAATAATTATACAGTAGCAATAGAGAAGCGAACAACAACAGCATACACAAATCCAAAGTTTGTTTTGCTTTGGTTTGGTGCTTCATTCAATAAAAGTTGCCTCATTCAAGACCAGGTGGCTTCTGTGACAGAAACCGTCAACTTCTGATTTATTCGCACTTTTCTCAGATTTGCAGCAACAGCAGCAAACAACTGCCCCAAATGCCAAGGAGAAAATATTCCCATCAACAGAAAATCTGACCTCTGCTTGTCTGAGTGTGTTCCATCTCCTCTCTTGGTTGAGACAAGGACTCTGCTCGAGCAGACACCTGCTCACAGCAAGGATTGACTTATTTAGCTGAAGGGACCCTGATGTACTTACCAGGGTTTCCCCCTCCTTTGTGTTTGGTTGTTCCTTAAATGGCATAAGGTTTTTTGGTGGGGTTTTTTTGTTTGCTCATTCATTTTTTCATTTTTAAATAATAAAGAAAAAGTCCAATGTTCATTTCTTCTTATCATTGCTTTTGGTACAGTTCTCAGGCAACCCTGCAGTATTGTCTCTGCTCTGCTATTAAAATTGTCTTTCAAGCCCTGTTGCAGGCCCTTGGAAATCAAAGGCAAGTCTCTGTGTACCTCTGTCAAGCTCTCATTCCAGCTCCCTCTACCCCATTCCCAGTCTCAGTCGCACATCAATGGATCAGCTATGGTTTTACTATTTGGTCACACCACACTTGCATTGTAAATACCTCTTTCATTCCACACCTGCACCCTGCCCCTGTTCCGAGGGCAACGCTGCTGCCCAGGAAGCAAGAGAGGACTCCTTCCATCTCCCTCATTTCTTCATCTTCTCTCCCTGTAGGATTAGTGGTAGTAAACTCCTACAGAGACACATGGGAGATAAAATGGTGACTGCGGCTACTCCAGCTCTACAGAGGGACTGGAAATTAAGAAGCGAGGGAGAGTTTTGACTTGGTGTAACTTTGGGGCTCTCAGCTTGAACAAGGTGTGTCTTCCCCATGTGTGACTGGCAGCAACCACAGCAAGTGAGGCACAGCTCCCTGCCCAAAGGAGGTTATGCCTCTTTACTAACCCTGCGGGAAAGGTGGCGAGCACCTGGTGTATTAGTCACTGCACATCCTACCTTAGATTCCTCCCACCAGTTACTGCCTTGGATGTTTCCCTGGGGATATGCCTCTCTCTCCCCACGTGAAGTGAAGCTGAGCCCTTTTATTACCCTCTCCGAGCCGCTAGCGGCGAGAGGAAAGCAATCAGCAGGGTCTGTTTGCAGACACGGTTTGAGAGAATCCCCCTCTCCCCCTCCCACAGGCTCCGCACACACAAGCGCCGCACGGGAAACAACAAACACAACGTTAGTCATTTCCTCCGCGCTGCCAGCTGCTGAGGGTTTGCATAAGAAGAACCCTTGGACTTCAGATTATTTCTTAGAACGCCTCTCGCCCCAAATCTTTCAGCAAACAGAGGCTGGACGGGTGCCTGCGAGGCCGTTGAGTGCTGTTCCTTGGCCTGCCCTGCCACCTTCCCCGCCTGCGGCAGCCCCACACGCTCTCACCCCCCCAGCACACACCTGCCCTCTGACAGCCACCGCAGTTTGGAAGCCTTCTGCCTATTCTGCCGTTGTGCTCAGGCTTAACTGCTTCTTTTTGCGATTAATTCTTAGGTGATGGTGGCATCTAAAAATTTACAAATCAGGGCCTACGTGACGCTATACGGCAAAGTGACAAAGGAGACAGCCTTCGCCCCCAGAAAACAGACGGTCAACAAGTCAGTCAGGAAACAACTTGTGCGTGAAGGAGAAAAACGGAATGAGCCAATAACGAAGAGAATAGATTTAGCAAAAACATCAAAGCCTCATCCTCATAAATAAGATTGTAATTTTGATGTGAACCTTGCTTCCGAATCAGAGGGTGAAAGCACCATGACTATGACACTTTGCCTGCTCTGATGCACTTCGTCTACTCTCTCATTTGTTCTGGCCTGAACCTGTGTCTTCAAGCCTTCCTTCACCCTCCTCAGAGAAACATATGCCTGCTGAGACCTGGCACTGGCTTCTCTGATGGAAAAGCCAAAAGCCAACCCTCTGATCCAAGTAATTAGTACACAATAGCTCTTATTCCTTGAGGAGATCATCATCACGTCCAAAGCTTGTTGCCTCTATTATCTCTTCACGCCCAGGTGGAACATCTACCCCAGGCAAGTGAGAGGACGGCAACATGTCCTCTTTTAGTGCCTGTACACATGCCTCTCCTTGGTGTTTCTCTGTAGCGTTTCCCCACCATGGAGAAGTAAGAGCCAAAGTAGAGGCCCCAGGAGGCAGGACAAGGTGAGTGATCTCCTGGACCAGTTGCCTGGCCCTTGTTGGGAAGATCAGCCCATGGGTGCAGGCTTTTGGAGAGCACTGAGGTTTCAAAGAAAACAGAAATGAAATAAGAGGTTCTGTAGCTGACACAGCCGCTCCGGTCTCTCCATGCACATTACTCTAGCAGAGGCCTTTACCTTCTGCCTTGCTCTGCTGGGCCATGGAAGCTTTCTTCTTTTATCTGTCTGTTTTGTTTTCACTTCCTGGTGGGTTTATTACTAGGGTTATGTACAAGTCCAATGCATCACACTAATTTAATTTAGCTTTAAAAAGTGTGTTTCCTCTCTGTCACCACTTCATCCCTCTTTGATTGCATTTCCCATTTCTCACTTCCACCAAAGCTGTTCGTGTAAATTGCCAAATCTGCATTGCTTATCTTTACAGGAAAGATATGTCTTGCTTCACTCCTAATTATAAATCAGGTACTTTTTGAAAAACGTGTCCTGAGGTGGAGCAAGCTGGTGGGAGCTTTCCCATGTTCTTTACTATTTCTTTTTGTCCCCACTCTCCCCAGCATCACAATCCCATGACATTACTTCCTGCCCCTGTATCTGCTCCCCATTCTCTTATACAAGCACACTGAGGCAGTGAATCCATTCATGTTTCTGGCTACGTCGACCTACGCTGTCAATAAATCATGTTCACCACATCTCCTTCACTGACCCCCCGTTCCTTACATACTTGAATACTTTCTTATTATTTATGTTAACCTCTTCTGCAATCTTATTGCATTTTTTACCTGTTCTTGCCTTGTCATTGTTTTACAGTCTCATTTTGCAGTCCTGCTCAGAACCTCTTTTTAATATCTCGTATGCAGCACTTCTCACATATTTGTTATGTATTTGTTCATTAATCATTGGTCTTGGAGGAAAAATTATCTTCTCCACTTGTTCCCTTTTGGAGCTAAATCACCAGTCTCTCCATCTTTGGTTCCATCTAAAATACTTTATCAATGTTAATACTGAAATATAATTTTCATCTGAGCTCAAGTTGACCATGGGCTTATAGTCCTCAACCCACAGAAAATCAGCTTGTCAGGAACAAAAGAAATTAAAATAAAGAATGACGGTACACCAATATGGGTTCGCATGCTGAAACCTGTCTTCTAGGTTCCTACATTTTGTGGGTAGTGCCTCATGACAATTTTCTAGGTCTAATACAATTTAATCTATTTCTAGGCTTTACCACCTAACTTTTTGTTTTAGTTTGGGGTTTGGTCTCTGCATTATATCTCCTCATGATTGTCCTTTTCCTACCTCCCCATCTCTTCATATAAGTGGAAAGAGTAGGTAGGATTTGTCACACAAGTAGAGATAGAGACACATGGACACACATGGGTTGAGCTACCCCCTGGTATTCAGACGTAGGATTCTGTTGGTGTACTAGATCTAGAATGTCTAATACATCAGAATAAAGGCTATTTTCATAGTATTCACGCCAAATTTGCAGATGCTAGTCTTTGTAACCACCCATGCTGCTGAAGGCTAATGAGAATTAAATGTGTATTCCAAAGCATGAGGGAGTATCCTAAATATAACTCCTCTGACAACATTATACACTGATGTGTCTTTCAATACTCACAGAAAAGGGCAGCTGCTCAAGCTAATACTGCTTATGTGTGAACAAACTTTCCAAACTGTATTTTCTACTTTTGTTATTCTGGTGTTTCTTGTGAATTTGGGAAATAGTCTTTAACTTGGTTGCAAGTACAGCTGCATCAGGAACCACTAATGTAAGTAGGGTTTTCTCTGTGTAGACCAAGATACACCATCAGCTACTGATATGTTTTCAAGAACTACTGCACACTCCTGGCAATGCTTAATCTGAAAGCAATGGATAATTTTATATTGTATGTTCAGATATATATATATGACAGAACACCCTCTCTTTGCTAGATCTTCCTTCATAGCAATCAATGAGCAACAAAAGGGGACAAATTTGCAAGGAAATGGTTTCTCACTAGAATTCACTGGGAATAACTCAGTTGAGCAACCTAGTAAGAGCAATGCCTTTCATCAGCACTGACACTCTATATTGGTAGGTACTGAAACAGAGTGCAAGGGAACAGCCCTGTCCCAGGCAGCCAGAAGCCCAGTGGATATGGCAGTAATGAATGAGGTAGGAGACACCAGTCTGAGTCCCTGCTTTCCCTAATAGAATCAGGGACTTGGCATCCCACAACCTAAACAGTTGCCCTGATATTGCAGGCTGAGTGTAAGCTTCATCTGGCACCTTACAGATGCCTTCAATACAGGCTTCTACATCTGAGCTCGTCATCCATACTGCCTTATGGCTGCTGGAGAGAAGCAGGAATTTTTAGCACATGTTATTTAATCCTAAGTATGACTGTTGTTCTCCATCAGCTATAAGTGGAGACAGAGGGAGCGAATCAGACGGAGAGGTCTACCCTGCACACCCTGCAACTGAGGAAGAACCATCCCACTGACCACTCAATCAACTCTACAAAATGAAACAATTCGATAAGGAAAGGTAGCTAAGCTCCTTCCACCTCCTATAGGTATGGTCACCTGCCTGGTCCAGTGGCTGCCTTTTCCAGGTGCTTGCTGCTACAGTCCTCCAATGTCATCTGCCCTTCTCTGTTGTGTGCAGGGCACTTTCTCACGGAGAATCTTCTGGCCTAGGCCATGTCCTGGTCTGCTTTCCTGCTTGCTTTTCTTTCTCTAATCCAAAGTCAGTGATATACTTCATACCTCTCAGCTCATCCTCTAGAAAGTCCACACCAGGTCATGTGCTCACATTGTAGTTACCACTAAATTTTTCCTGTTGTGGTTGTATGTACTAATTTTCATGCTCTCCTGAAAGTTTTCACAGGCTAGTCTGTGTTGGGAAAAATCAGGTACTGCCAAATAATTTCCTTTAACTGACAAAAAGTTTAATGTTTTCCAGGCTAGGGGCTTGTCATGTCACCTGTGGGAGTTAGGGATTTTATTACTTATCAAGTAAGGCATTCTTTCCTCATCTACTCTTGCTAAAAGAGAAGGAACAACTCATGCCATAAGAAATGGAAGTCTATGTTTTAGAAGCTATGGAGCATCAATTGATATACCTGAGAGGGAC